TAATTGTGCTTTAGCAAATCTTTTAAGTGCTTTCATTTAACAGATAGCTGAGAATTATTTATCATTACTCTGTTCATTGTTTGAATTAAAATTAATACCAAAGTAGTGCTTGAGAATGGTCTTTTTTTTCCTTTTACATTTAAATAGGCTAGACATTTGCTTTGTTTATATCATTAATTTGTTTTCACACAGTCTGCAAAGGTAACCATCAACTCAGAATTAATTAGTGGAATCAAAATTAATGAGGTTTTACTGTATTGGGCCATTTCTACTCTAGGCCAGTTTTCTTCACATGAGTCGGACTAGCATTTTCTTGGAAGAAGAAAAATTAGATTTATTTTAATCCATATTTAAAAAGCAGAAAACCATCTTTTTTGTGAGTTAAGTACCTCTAATAACTATGCTTTCTTGGGCTTAGTAATATTGATTTTTTTTTTTTTTTGTTTTCAGTCTTGATTATTTTGGCTGTTTCCAGACTGTTGCTCGTTACACTAAAGCTAGAGTTAACTCTTCAGATGCTTATTTTCATTTATAGGCTTCATATATCATTTTTATGTTCGACCACATTTTTTTTGTGTGTGGAGCATGTCACTTGCTAATTTTCACCATTACTGCACTGTGTGAAAGAGGAATAAGACTTTTCTAAAACATTTTTATGTAAATATGTCATGTTAAATTACATCCTGTGGACACAGAAAGCTAGAATTTCGGGAATATACTTCCCACCACTTTTTTTCCTCTAGAAAATTATGTCACATACTTTTTGAAGTAGGTCCAATGGTATTACTTAGTGTTCACTTTGTATGCTCTTGATTGGTACTGTGAGAATGATAACATGGAGATGTTTAAATTTTTTGTGTAAGAGTGGTTTGCAGTTTCTTGAATCTTTGGACTTGCCTGCCGACATGTAAATGGGGAGAAGGAGGATTTTGGCAGTGAGACTTTTCATGAGGAGTCGCCGCTGCTGAAGTCAGGTTCCTCTGGGAATCCTCTTGTTTGCTTGAGGGCCGCAGTTCTTCCTCTGCCGGGTTATAAACGACAGGACAGTCTGTCTGGTGAAGAGAGAATTTGTAGCTCTGAGCTTGTCAGTAGTTTTGTGTCACCTCAGATGTTGAGATCTGTCAAAAGATCAGTTTAAGGAGCACCAAACACAGTAAAGATATTGGTAAAACTTCACCTTTTAAAAAACAACAAATACTCACCTCGACTCATGTCTCTGCTCTTTGGAAAAAGTATATGATCAGTGAAGTGCTATGGACTTGGGGACCAGCAAGTGAGCTGGTTAAATGTGTGGCATTCATTAAGGATTAGGTCATTTTACAGAAGATTTTGGCGTTTGTGTCGAAGAGGCAGAAATCAAAAGTAGATGTGAGTACTGTGGCAGTTCAGTGCTGGATTAAAGGACATGGTTAAAAGGAAATACTGTTTAGAATTCATTCTTCCAAGTTTATCATGCATAGGGAAAAAGAGCAGTGTTTTCTTTCATAAAAGAAATAAAATGGGCACTTTTGACAGATTGGTGTTACAAAGTACAAAATAGTAGCTAACCATTAAGATAATAACCATCCCATTTTGTAAAGTGAATGATGGATGTATTTGATAAATACAAAGCCTCAGTTCTAATCATAAGCTGTAGAAAAACATCCCTTATATAAAATTGTTACCTTTAGTTAGCAATGTATGGCTGAAACATGTAAATATTTTATGTTGTATGAAATAACTGAAAATAAAGGCATCATGGTATTTACCATTTTATTCTAACATTGCCTATGTTTAAATGATTTTTTTGGGCATCATTGGCCACTTTAATTTGTTACTTAATTTTTTTTTAAGATTAGAATCTATTTTTTTTTTTTTTTTGTGGGACCCTCTTCAGCGGCCAGGGAACGAACTGGCACCGCAGAGGCTGCAGGCAGCCTTGCAGCCCAGCGCTCAACCACTGCGCCACCAGGGGAGGCCCTCGAATATTTTTTTCATTATTATTTTTTAAATATGTATTTATTCATGCATACAAAAACCAGGGTACAGGCCAGATGCGTGGGAGGGTGAGAGGATTCACCAGAGATGGAGTGGGGCACAGAACAGGCAGACTGATGAAATACACTGCTGAGGGGAGCAGCGGGCGAGACAGAAGAGGTCTGCCACTCAATGTGGGTATCTTGCCAGCCAGTGGGGATCAAACCAGCACTGCATTCAACTGCCTGTGCCACCATGGGGGGGCCCTATTTTATTATTTTGATGTCATTTCATATTGATTTTTTCTTTTTTTAAAAAAATGTTTCTTTTTTTATTGAGGTAACATTGGTTAATAGCACTATCTATGATTTAGGGGTATAGGTTCACACCTCTTTAAATGTATGTTATCATACCACATCCACCATCAAGGCACCCACAATGCTCCATCATGGTCTGTTGTGCCCCCTCCCCTTTTCCTTCCTCACCCCCCTTACCTTCCCCTTCTGCTAGTCTCCATTTATCATTACTGTTTAATTAAAAAGCTATTTTTTATGTGCCACAAGTAAACTACCTTTCTGTCATTAATATGTCTTTTTTTTTTTTATAGAGGCATGTTTTATTTGTTTGTTTGTTTATTTGCTTGTTTGTTTATACATGCACTGGGTACAGTCAGAAGCACGGGAGGACAAGAGAATTCACCAGAGCCAGAGCGGGCAGCAGAGCAGGCAGAGGGACCGAAGTACACTGCTGAGGGGAGCAGCGGGCGGCAGGAGAGGTCTGCGCGCCATGTGGGACCCTCCTCCGGTGGCCGGAGAGCAGCCGGGGATCGAGCCGGCGCCGCAGAGGCTGCAGGCAGCTTTGCAACCCAGTGCTCAACTGCTGCGCCACTGGGGAGGCCCCATTAATATGTCTTTTTAAAGAAAGAAATCCTGTTTTATGTGTCACCTGAGTGCTGATTATTAGGGAACATGAAATAAATGTGCTTAATAAATGCTTGTTTAAGAGAATTCTATATGTTGTTTTAGTAAAGGTTTGTGACATGATCTTTCCAAACTTAGTTTTCTTAACTTTTTTTTTTTTTTAAAGATTTATTTTTATTTATTTATACAAGCACTGGGTACAGTCAGAAGCGCAGGAGGGTGAGAGAATTCACCAGAGCCAGAGAGGGGATCAGAGCAGGCAGAAGGACCGAAGTACACTGCTGAGGGGAGCAGCGGGCGGCAGGAGAGGTCTGCGCGCCATGCGGGACCCGCCTCCGGTGGCCGGGGAGCAGCCGGGGATCGAACCGGCGCTGCAGAGGCTGCAGGGCAGCTTCGCAACCCACCGCTCAACCGCTGCGCCACCCGGGAGACCCAGTTTTCTTAACTTTTAAAATTACTGAGTGCTTGCTATGCTGATTACAGTGTTTAAATAATCATTTTTAAAAAGGATAATAAGTAAAGCTAATACAGAGTTAAAGAATAAAACACCTGGATTTATGAACAAAGTAAATAGTTGACTATTACTATCTTTGTTTTATTAATGTCTTGCTTCATTTAAAATTGATGTTGTGTTGTTTATCAAAATAAATATTCAATAAGATCAAAATAAAGCTAAATCTCAGTGAAGAGAAAAATGAGATAAGAAAGCAGATGAGCCATTGAGTTACATTCAAAAATATCTGCTCAAGATTCCATATCACTAGAGGTAGAAAATTCAGTCCTGAGTTTCCTACTTATCCAAACTTAAAAGGAACCAGTGATATATAGCAGCTTTCCCCAAAGTGGGTTACTCAAAAACTAGGTCTTACCAGATTATCTTGGTCATATAACTTTGTACCACCTGAATGATACTGTATCCCCCTTGTAGAGACAGTCATATTTATATCTGTTTGTTGAAGGTTCTTGGAAGTTTTGTGCATAAAAATTACAACTGCAATTTGTATTTCCTATGCACATTTGCCTTTACCCCCTGTGTTTTTTATCTGACACCTGTCAACATTTCCCATTTAGTGCGATATACCATTTGGTGAAATACTGTTCTTTAGTTAAAAATAGTCTGTTTCAGTGAAGACTGTCAGACAGGTTTAAGATGAGACATTTCTCCTTCAGATCCAGAGCAAGGATACACACACACACACACACACACACACACACACACACACAGGATAGAATAGGTCTCGTTCTCAATAAACAACCCCAGTCTGCACTATGGCTGGGTTCATTTGATTTCACCTCACTATGAGCTGAAAGTATAATCTAATAACTGAAAAATTAAGTTTTAAGTTGCCTGTAAATTCTTACAGAAATTTGAAAGGCTTGATATTTAACTTTCTAGGTTGTGGATTCAGTTCTCTGTTGCTATTGAAAATCTTTACCACCTTTGTTTGATTATCCATATTCCATCTTTTCCTGAAAAGGAATTGAAGGCAAAAACTAGAAATGAGCAGAAAACACAGAGCAGAATGTTTAATTGGCCATTGTGTGTCGGTTGAGGTGGTGCACCTGCTGACATTAGAGACAGAAGCTGTGCAGCATGTCTGTAGATAATACAAAGTGTCTGGCTCTTAAGAAACGATTGTGGCAGGGCAACTATGAGGGTATTGTTTTTGAGCAAAGGAGCAGGGAAGAGCATGGGTCTAAATGACAGCGACACAAACAGAAAGAAACACAGCAGAATGCAGCTCGAGCAGCTGACAAAGGAAAGTTCACACTGTGGAAAGAGAACACATAATAACAGATCAATTTTTGTCCAGCTCTGTCTGCTCATAAGCAGCGTTCATTTCAGTAAGGTCATCTTCGGATTTGAACAGCAGATTTGCCAAAGCATCTTTTCCATCTTTAATCTAGGATTCATTCAGTATTTCTTTTAAGTGCTGGGATGATTGAACTGTTTTCTTTTTTTTTTTAATAATATAAAGGAACACATTTTCAACATGACTTAATATCATGGTTTGTTTTCAGGGGTTATAAATCTATGGTTGATTTTGGTTTAAGTTGTAGAGGACAGGATCATTTTATTCTGAATTTAATGCAAACGTAATGAGGGTTTATTTGTCTTTTCAGGCACGAGTGCAGCACTGCATCTGCTCTGTAGCCAGTGACCACTCAGTGGGACTTCTAAGTTTGCGAGAGAAAAAGTGCATTATGCTGGCATCTCGTCACCTTTTCCCCATTCAAGTCATCAAGTGGAGGCCTTCTGATGATTACCTAGTGGTGGGATGTTCAGATGGCTCTGTGTACGTCTGGCAAATGGATACTGGTAAGAACAGATGCTAAGAGGTTGACATATAAATGAAATGGGTGTCTTTGATTTCCTAGAAATTAAAAACCATTCATAGGAGGAAAACAGCCCTAAAATGTAAAGAAGATTGCAACTTTTATTCTGATTGCTGCTTTTTCTAAATGTTCTCATCACCTTCAACAAAGAAGTATTTAAACATTTTCTTATTTGTTATATGCCACGTAATTGTAGTCAAGTCACTGATAACTAAAAAGTTAAGTTTTAAGTTGCCTGTATGTAATTAAAGATAGTATACCGGTTAGGACAGACATCCAGACACCAGACAAAAACGAGCAATTTCTGTATAATTCATAAAGGAATCAGTGAGCAAGATAAAGGAACCATTTTTGTATTTAATTCAGAAATACTGGGGAAAGATAAAAATCCTCTTTTATTTGCAAAGGAGAAAAGCAGTAGGGGACAGTTGTTAATAGAGGTGGTGATTAAAATAAAAGTTTGAAGTTCTAGAGAGAACAGGATAAAAAATGTTATGTATGGGGTATAGGATAGATTAAGTATTGCTTAATTTCAGAGTACATGCCGCAATATGTAATGTTTATGCTGAGAATATCATTGTCTTTCCTGGAAATCTGTAAGTATATAACTAAATGTATTTATTAGTTTCATCATTCATAAACACATTTTATCTCTTACTTTTGCTATCTTAAAAGATGATCAGTGGGGGCCTCCCCGGTGGCGCAGCGGTTGAGCGCTGGGTTGAGAAGCTGCCCGCGGCCTCTGCGGCGCCGGTTCGATCCCCGGCTGCTCCCCGGCCACCGGAGGAGGGTCCCACATGGCGCGCAGACCTCCCCTGCCGCCCGCTGCTCCCCTCAGCAGTGTACTTCGGTCCTTCTGCCTGCTCTGCTCCCCGCTCTGGCTCTGGTGAATTCTCTCACCCTCCCGTGCTTCTGACTGTACCCAGTGCATGTATAAACAAAACAAACAAACAAACAAATAAATAAATAACATGCCTCTATTAAAAAAAAAATATCTTTAAAAAAAAAAAAAAAAGATGATCAGTGATTACACCTTTCTTTACATTTCTACCCTACAGTATAATCTTTCTACTAAGTGTTTTTCCTTCCCTTCATATTTTCATTTCTTTTAAATAGTCTTTTTAAATATCAGAATACATGCACATTTCTGTCTGTACTGTGATACTGTAGGTAATTCTCCTAAGTCTTTTTGGGACAAGTTGTTATAGTCTTTGGTGGTCTTTATTTATAGGCCTTGTCTTAACTGATGTTGTGTAGGCAGTCTTGCCTACAGGAAGCATTCTTAAAGAGTGTCAGACTATGTTTCTTTTGCATTTAGCTTTTCCTTTTCTTGTCAAAATTTAAAAGCATGAAAGTATTAGAAACGATGAAAGTATTAGATGAATGGTAAATAGCACCATTTGGCATATTTCTCTTTATTATTGATTCTGGGCATCTTTAAAGCCAGTGTGGCTGTTAGATGGCATAGGCAATTTCGTGCTTTACTTTTGTGTCCATTTGTCATAGCCTGTCTGGTGAGCAGTGTGGCCTTGTGTTTCCTAAGGTGGTCCTCCTACAAAGTTAAATATTCAAGGTTTGTCATAGGCTCGATGTTAGATGACTGGGTTTGAATTTAGGGTTGTCCACTTGCCACCTCTGATCCACCCTAAGTCACTGGACCTTTGTCCCTCATTTTCTTACTTGTAAAATAAAGTTAAAGATAGTTCCTAATTTACAATGTTGCTGGGAGAATAAATAATATTTTCCTGGTGTAGTAGATATTTTGTGTTTATTTGTGTTTTGAGCTTGTAAGTTTGTATCTGTACTTCCAAGCCTGCATATTTCACATTACTATTATCAAAAGATGCTACTTGTTAGTGAGTAGGACTTAAGTATTGATACATTTAGAAGTATTTTCTTAGGGAATTAGTACTAAGCAGAGTAAGTTCTTATAACAATAATGACATTTGTAAAATTTTAAAGTACTATAAATGTTACATTGACAATACATTTTAAATGCAGAAATATGGTAAGCTTGTCTATGACTCTTAAAAAATGAACTAAATGGATATAGGAAGAGGGTATAGTACTCCTGAAATTTTCAAATACTTAAATAGATGATACTGAATATTTCATATTTGAAATACTTTGGTAAAGATATACTGGAGGATATTATTATAACCAGTTTCATATGATTAAGCCCATTTTAAATGAAACAGCATTCACAGATTTCACAATTCTAATCTTCGGGTTTGGGTAAACAGCTAATGGCATTCTTAAAATAAAAAGAATGGAAGCAGAATTTATTTTGGATTTCAAGCGTAATGGGAGGTGTGCTTTCTTTATTCCTTGTTGTTCAGACTTTAGCTAGTGATATAACAGTACCTGGGGACCAGTAAGGCACATCCTGAAGGTAGTCACATTATTTATTTATTAAATTTATTTATTTATTAAATAAATAAAAAATGAAGCTAAATAAATCAGATTCAGCCAAGGTTTGAGGTATGAAACGTATTTAAATGGATGCCTCCTCTTGATGTTTTGGGGCTGTTTCTTATGAATGACTTTAATTACACTAAAACTATTCAGGCATATTGTATAATTTTCTTTGTTTACTATTTGTATTGTACTGATGTGTCTTGTTTTAAAACACAGTGGCCTTCCTTTCCACTTTTATGCAGCATTTTCTTTTATGTTTTTCCCTTCATATGGACATCATTTTCAGTGTTCAGTTTCTAATGAAATGAAATGGAAGCTAATAATAGAAAGTTTAATTTGAAATGGATCCACAACCTTCTGTTCTTTCAGGATGTCATCTTTATTACATGCCGTAGCAATGAAAAGGCACGTGTGAGGCCATGGGAAATTATTATTCCTTCACATCTGTGGATAGGGAGAAAATCAGTCCAAAAACTAGCAACAAGATTTGGCCAAATGAACCCCTTGACTTCTACTTAGCAACTGACCTAGGGTAGCAGCTTCTGCTCAAGCTGCTTGTGTGCCTCGGGAATCAACCTTCTCTTCACTTTTGATGTTCCCAGTAAGCATGCAGTGGTGTTCCCACAGGCCTTTGACAAGGTCAAAATCCTATCTACTTGGGAGATGGCGGCATGCTGTATGTGATGGCTAATATTACAAGGTGTTCTTATCCAGTCGTTACCAAACCAAACAACATTTGTGTCTGTCTGTTTTTATCATCTTTTCTATGTAACAAAAGTGATTCTCCCTTCTTATGCCCATTCCTATCAGTCCAGTTACTCCAGTAGCCCTTGCTAAGTATTAATAGAAATTAGTTTATGAATTCTTGTCAATTTTGTTTTGTGATCTTTTTGTTGATTTTCTGTCCCTCAAAGTTTTCTGAACTCTTCTGCTTTTGCGTTTACTTCATGAAATGGGCATTTGTCATATTTTAAACTTAATTATCTAATCAAATGTAGCAGGGAATTGTGAATTAATATACATTTACATCTGTTGGAAACATATATGAAAAGCATGATTAACCAAAAACAAAAGTGTATCAAAAATTCAGATTTTCCTACAAACAGTCTTAGTGTATATGTTGTTCTTGCTTAAAACTGATTTTTAAAAATATTTTCATGCTTTAATTTTGGTTTACTTAAATTGATGGTTTTTGTTTTGTTAGTAAAATTAAAAAGATAATTGGTGGTGGTAGAACTCCATGCCAGTCTCTTATAATTTGTAGGAGATTTTAGTAACAAGCAACAACTTTGATTTTTTTCACACATTTATCCTTTGTCTACAGGACTTAAATGGCGGAGATTTGATTTTATGTCTGTTTCACACTGTATGGCATTATATCATCAAATTTTCTATATCTTCTACATTTTTGCTTTTTATTCTTCTATAAAAATTTATAGGACAAAATACAAAGAATGAAAGGACTGAGAAAAATGGTATTTTTTTACAATCTTGGTCAAGCCAAGTATAATCAATCAGAGGGTTTCTTTCTTCCCTTTGAACAATTCACTTTGGAATTGGAAGGAAGAGGTTGTAAGATATAGTTTTGTGATGTGGAGAAACCAACAAAGGAGACAGAGATGGAGCTGCCAGGGAGAAGAAGAAAATGAAGGATATGTTTGCTTGGAAGCCAAGTGAATAAAAGTATCGCAGGGAGTGGAGCGGAGGACCTGGTGCCCCGGGTAGTAAATGAGAGTTGAGGACTGGGAACTGTGGGAGTCAGTAATGTGGAGAGTAGGTTCTGTGCACGTTACGTGGTGAGATCTGATGAGTTAAATTTAAAGGAAAATGGGAGGAGAAAGCTCTGGACTACTAAATATTGACAACTCTTTAGGGGGAGATTATGAAACAATAGGATGCCAGCTAGAGAGAGATTTTGGGTCAATTGTGTGTGCTTTTAAACAGGTGAAATAATTGCATGTTTATATGCAGATGGAAATGATGTAGCAGGTGGGCAAAAGTGATGAAGAGAAGGTGGAGAATTGCTGACACGCTGACCTGCATTTAGGGGCAGACAGCATTAGGTCGGAGCCTGGAGTGTTTTCATTACTGTCGGGTATGTGAGTGGAGATGCAGTGGTGAGAGCTTGTGCTTCGTTTCTAATGCTTTCTAAGTAAAATGGGGAACAACATTTTCCCCTGGATAAGGGCAAGAAATGGAGTGTTGAAAATCAGAGGAGAGGAAAGTTATTATACAATAAGAAAGTGGGAGAGCGGGAAAGTGAAAAATCTGTGGAGATGTCACCACTACAGGCCCTCTTGCTATCAGTGATTGTGCCTGTCAAGTGGATCCATCAGTGTGTCAGTCATTCACTCCCTCCTCATTGTGCAGGTGCAGAGGAGGGGACGGGTACAGAGAATCCAGCCAGGGCTGCAGTTTGCTCAATTCATACAAGGAAGTGAGACGAGGACAAAGCTGTGGTTATGAAGAGGGGTGATAGAGTTTTAGTAAGGACATGGGGTAAGCAAGGGACAATGATAGGTTAATGAATCGTTGGAGTCAGTCCTCAACAAGGAATTATTGGAATCAGAAGGAGCAAAGAGTGGGAACTTGCACCAGAGAATGGAATGTTTGGATTTGGGTCATGTTAGAATTTTGTTTATTGGTAAAGAGAAGATTATAATTTGACCATGGTCTGTGGCTTAAGGGTTGGACAAAATTTATTGGAGTAGAGGACTTCAAAGAACCAAGAGATCGGGATATGTGAAAGGCTCAGATGTGCTGATTTTTGTACGTTTTTGAATTTTTAAATCCCTTTGTGATAATACACATTCTCCATTTCATACATACATGGAAAATTTCAGGTAGCATTTTCTTCTTTTGCTTCTCACCTTCCAAAATGTATTGTTAAAGAGCCAATGAGTTGATAATGTATATAAATACTGAAATCACCAAGAAAAGCTTGTAGGAGTACTATGGAAAGAGGGGAGTGAGTAAAGGGTAAAAGTCTAAGAAATGAAGGGCAAATCATCATTGCATTTGACATTGGGAACATAATATATTTTTGGATGTTTTAACTCTACCTCAAAAAAACACTGTAAACATTTTGTATCTTGTTGAAAGTTAATTTTCTGGTGGCCTTTATGGTTATTTTTCAAAATTAACTTGTCCTCTGTTAATGGCATTTACTGGAAGAATACTGAATGAATCAAAATAAACTCCATCATCATTTCATTATTCTAAAATATTACACACATTCTCACAATGAGACCCTTCTCTGCTTGATATGATGCTAGGTACTGTATAAAACAAAGCATGTAGAAGGGCTGCCAGTTTTATAGGAAGGAATTTGTGCCCTAAAGTTAGCCAGGAAATGCACAGATGGTGATAGTGAAAAGGATGGCCAAATGAAGAAGCTTGGTTAGAGGTAGTAGTAGTTGTTTTCACAAATACAGAGAAGCATTTGGGTGTAAAGAATAAAAAATTAAAAAATTGCAAACAGAATGAGTAGCTAAAATTTCTGTGGAAGTTTCCTAGAGAAAGAGAAACTTCAGGTATTCTTCAAGTAGAAAAAAATTTTGAAAGATAGTAAAACTCAGGGTTTTTTTTTTTTTTTGGTTGGTTTGTTTAGGATGGATAGACAAAATAAAGGAAGGTGAAGTCATAGAAATTTAGTTCATAATAGAGAATGGTATGGCGCGAGCTAGGAGGCCATCTTGGGGTTTGAAATACAATGGAAAACCCTGGAGAGAGTTGTTGAAATCTTGGCTCTGATTTTGGTTGTACTGGAAAGTTGTGGTGGGGCTTTATGGTTGATGGACTGGTGAAGGTAATGCCACATGGAAGAGCCCCGGAGGAAGGGAGTACAAGAAAATGTTGCTGGGAGACACCGATAAGACCTATTTTCACTTGATGAAGTTCCATGCATTTTCCTTTCTTCAGAAATTATTTAGAATGTTACAGTGCTCTTTAATATTTGTGGATGCGTATGTCTTCCAGGTGCCCTGGATCGCTGTGTGATGGGAATAACAGCAGTAGAGATATTGAATGCTTGCGATGAGGCTGTTCCTGCTGCAGTCGACTCCCTTAGTCACCCAGCAGTCAACCTAAAACAGGCGATGACCAGACGGAGCCTCGCGGCTCTTAAAAACATGGCCCATCATAAGCTGCAAACCCTAGCCACTAACCTCTTGGCTTCCGAGGCATCTGACAAAGTAAGTTTTATACGTGGGCTCATGTACAGTCCCCATTTAACTTCCTTTAATACCTTGTGGGGGATAATATTTGGGAGATGATAGTGGTGAAAAATAAGCTTCTGATTTGCATTTAGGTTTATTCAACAGAGTTTTTAGAATATTTTAAATAGTTGGCATTTTGAAAGAGCAAATTATTCTTATTCAAAACATTGAAAAGTGATTCCTACTGAATTGATTTCAGGTTCTGAAATTAGAACAAACGTTCTATATATAATCTTTTTGACTTTCTGACAGTCTTCCTTTTGAAATATTGAGTCCTGGTTAGTAGCTCCAGGAGCAAAAATAGTAACTTAGGTACAATTAAAATGTCTAGTTGTGGCTTATCTTTTTTGTTTAAAAAGTAGATTCTGATCTTGCTCAGAATAGGTTATTGCAAGGGTGTAAGAAAAAAATATGAGAGCAGGTATGTGGGAGAACAGGTGCTGGCATTTCTCCGTGAATCCATCACACTTGCACAGCACAGCACACTTGAATTCAAGGCATTAGTTACTTCTTCAGTTTCCGGAAGGTCACCAACCTAAAAGAACAAACAATCCCATTTCATTAATTGGCTGCTTGTCTTAGCTTTGTAGAGGCTGGCCACTCTTTGGGTTGCGGTCCTTGTGATCTGTGGCATTGTTGGAACTAATTTGTCTCTGCTAATTGATAAATGAAACCTACAGACAATCCCAATATTTCACTAAGTCACTACTTAAAATTCCTAGTTCCATCTAAGTATTCATTAGAATTATTAATGGGCAGCAAAATTAATTTTATTTTAATTCTGTTATTCCTGATTCTTTTTTAATGGTTAGATTTGTGAATAAGTAGTGAAGATGTTTGTTGAAACATTCATTCACAACTGGAAAATTTGCCTGTGAATTAGTATTAATGACATGATACTATAGGTAGTTCCATTAACCCATATCTTCCAGTAATTGGCGGTAATATTTGATCTTTCTGTCTCTCCCCAAGATATAAATGTTTTATTGGCTTTGTTATATTGTATGTTTCATAGATTGGAATTCTTTCTAATGAAGTCTAGTGAAATCTTCCTGTGATTTTGTTTTTAATGCTTTCAGTCCCATGCTCTAAAATTTGAATAGCGATTACAGCTTAAATGCATTTGCTGTGTCTACAGTTTCTTTCAAGAGATCATGTAGATGCTCCTAGAAATTGAGTGTTCCTAACACATTGTCTGACATTCTATATAATTTTAAATTTGAGCAAACTTATAAAACAATATATCCAAGGGCAAGAACGTATGTTATGCAATTTCCAAATCTCTTTCTTTTCAGTATCTTCTAGAAGTGAATATTTGGAAAAAGAATGCTATAATGGGAAAATTAAAGAAAAATAAGTGTTACAGTAATGTTTATGAATGGCTTTTGTAAGTGGTCATGGTCCATTATGTGATTTTTACAATCTTGTTTGTCCCTGTTTTAATAGCGCATTTTATAGTGCAATTAGTGATAAAAGCACCAGATATCAGAGACACTACACTTATGTATTGTAAAATATATTGCTTGTGAACCTGCTCGGTCTTGTAGCAGTGGTAATTGTTGCCTGGCCTACAAGGAAAACAATTATAGAAGGGGGGAAAGGCTTAGGAAGCCGAGACTGCAGGAGGATAATCACTTTATGAAAAATGTATGTTGGCTGTGCCATTAGGGATTTCTCTAACTATCTCCTCATGTTGAATTTGAGGCTCCTTCTGAAGGGAATATTTAAAGAGCTGTCCTCTACATGGTTTTCTAACCTCAGGAGAAATAAAACCCACCCAAAGTTTAAAAAAAAAAAAAAAACCCAACACATAAGCTTCAAGAGTTTTTCAGTGGGATAGAACATTCTCAGATATTGAATTTATTTTATTTTTTTTCTATGTTTCTCTCAATGGAAAGTAAAACCTCTGGTGGACTACTCTATGGAAAGCATCCTGTTCTTCTTCAAATAGTATTAGCCATCAGGCTATTTGGAAGTAACAAATATTTTATATTGGCAACTATATTAATTATGCCAGACATACAGCTTCGTAAGCAAAGATAGAGAATTTAACCTAATTCTCCCTATTTTTTTTCAAACTCTGATTCCCCCTATTGAAATTCAGTCTTCTTGCAGCAGAGGTTATGATCTATTTATCTCTGTGTTCTCCCCACCACGTCTTGTAGCATCTGTGCAATAAATATTTGTCAAATTGGGTGGCGTGTGATAGACAGCCCTGATGACAGCCTCTGCTTCGGTCTCTCTGCCCGTGTCTTCTCCATCCTCTCATGGCTATTGTCTTGACTTGACAGTTCAGTCTCCTCTTGTCCATGAGCCTCTAGGCATGGAACCTTGTAACTTTGCTCTCTGTTCAGTTTTTCATTCTCCCCTTGGTTTCGGTAAGCAGGGCTATCCAGGCCTGGCCCATCCTCCTTTTCTGCCTTCTGGGTGTTGTCCATGCTGGTTCATCCTGGAATTGTCTCAACTAGATCCCCTCACTGACCTCTGCCTCTCCCAGCTCCAGACCAGGGTTGCTCATCCCCAGCACTACTGGCGTTTCGTCTGGATCAGTCTTTGTTGTGGGGGGCGTGGGGATCTGTCCTTTGTGTTTTCGGAAGTTGAGAAGTATTTTCCCTCTACCCACTAATGCCAGTAGCACCCAGTAGTGAGCATCAGCTATGCTTTCAGACGTTGCCAGGTACCCCCGGGAAGGCACAATGGCCTCTGGTTTAAAACCACTGATTTTGGTGAAAAGAAAATGAGAAGTGGTAGGGCTCCTACATCCTGTATCCTTTCTTTTCTTCTCCCCACTCTTATTTCTTTAATCCTTCTTCTCTTTGAGGGCTGTGAGGCTGTCCTCTACCCTCATCACCTCTGCCCCCAGTGCCAGAATTAGTTCCTGTCCTGCTTTCTCTCTGTGCTCATAGTTTCCTGTTCAGATCTCTCCTAAAACACTTCATTCTGTCTGGGGTGGTTTTTTTTTTTTTCTTTACATCTGTCTTTCCTAAATAAATTTTGAGCTTCTTGAGGACAGGGGCTGAATTTCTCATCAATGTATTTCCATTGCTCATGTAGTATATGCTGCCTAGTAAGTACATGAGGAACTTAGTGGGCAGTTAGTTTGAGATATAGGTTGAAATCATAACATGGAGCCAATTTATTTTATTTTATTTTATATATTTTTTACATCATTTTTCATATTTGCACAATGTATACATTTTCATCTTGGTTATAGTCCCCATACAATTCCCATCCCCCCTTGTTTTGATCCTGCTCCCTTCTCCCCACCTTGTAGTGTGTCTGTGGTTTATAGTTGCTTGTTGATTTTGCTTTTTACTTTATTATAATTAGTATTTTTCCTGATCCCTTATTTAGGTTTTCTAAATTCCTGCTATGAGTGAGAACATCTGGTATTTTTCTTTTTCTTTCTGGCTTATTTCGCTGAGCATGATCCCTTCTAGCACATGGAGCCAATTTGAATGCAAAGATGAGGGTTCAGCTCAGTGGATAGCAACATGATATGGAAGAGTCTTCATGTGAAATTTTTGGTTTGCTTAAGAAATATTTTGCCCTGTGATATTCATGTGTAGGACACTTGTAAATATTGGTATGGCAAATGGGTTGGGAGACAACTGGGGTGATACAGTAGGAGGTAATGGGACTGGAGTGGGATCAGGCAGTAGAAACAGAATAGGGGGTGGCTTGTAAGCTGTCATGTAGATTGAATAGAGAGGACTTCACAAATGAGCGAGGGAAGAGTTCAGACATACAAGATGGTTTCAAAGATCCAAATCCCAATAACTGCTGGCATGCAGAGATTGAATTTGATGCAGTTCACATTTTGGGGTATCTGCTATTATTAGATTATTCCAGATATTCCATCTTCCTAATTTTACAGCAGATAGATGAGTGTAATAAATGTCCTTAAATTAGCAAATTATGAACCTCAAAGATGGCTGATCAGTATTGGGATCAGGAAACTTTTTCTGTAAAGGGCCAGATAATAAAAATTTTAGGCTTTGCAGGCCATCACTCTCTTTTGCAGTCTCAGCTCTGCTGTTGTAATGAGAAAGCAGCCATGGACAGTATGTAAATGAGGGAGTACGACTAGTTTCCAGTAAAATTTCAGTTATAAAAACAGGCAACGGGCTGGATTTGGCCCATGGGTCATAGTTTGCCGACCCCTGCTTCAGAGGATGGCGTTATAAATATTCAGGTGGTGGGTACAGCTCCCCCCTGGGAGAGCCTTTGCTTCATCTTTGAAAAGCAGTTCAAAGACATTGTTAAGAGCCCAGTTCAGGCAACAGGCCTATCTGTGTTCAAATTACGCCTCTGTAACTAGCTGCCTGAGGGTGACGTTGAGCCAGTAACCTCCAGTGGCCTAGGTCCCACATATAATTGAAAACAAAATTTTATAAAGGAAGTAAAGGTTACTAGTTGATCAGAGAAATGAAATAACATTAAGACTTGGGGAGTGAAAAGAGTGTTTGGAGTAAGTCATCAGGAAATGGTGGTGATCAAGAGGGCGTTGGGTGGGAAATTGGGACAAGCTAGGAAAGCGCCTGCGCTGCAGCAGAGGGACTGTGTGTGCGGGAGGTTTGCTTTTGGAGAAAAAGAGAGTAGTCGCTTCAGGGACTGCAGGCTTCGGAGCAGCGTTTACACCTAGTTTCAGAGCGCTCCCTCAACACTTTTGTTGGTGGAGGAGGTAATTGATGGAGCGACATAAGAGATATGGGGTACAGATATGGAGAGTTCAGCCTTTCTAGAAATATGTTGGTGAATATATCCAAGATATTTTTAGTGGAGGAGGAGAACAGTAACTATGAAACCTGTTAAAAGGAAGGCAATGGATGTAATCCCTTGAAGGTAGAGTCATCATCCACTTTATAAATACCAGTAGTCCTCAGCTTAAATAAGTGGACTGGATTAGGAGTTCGAAGATTTGTAAAATCTATTTTTAAGGAGAATAATATAAAATTTGAAAGTCCCTGGTGATA